ACTAGACTCATGAGCTGCTACAATCTTCTTTCCGATGGCCTCAGACAGCCCCTTCGATCTCACCATGGTGTTGACTCTCACTTCAACAGTCAGGAGCACAAACTAAATGTCTGAGGTTTAAATAAGGCAAGCCTCCTTCAAAATGCTGAGTAACAATGTTCTAATCATGCGCACCTGATGTGATACAACTGTGTGTGATTTTAGCCATTTTAAGTGGGAATAAATGTGGGGGAGTCCTAATTTATTTCTCAGCGGAATTGACATTGTTTTTTAAATTACACTTTACAGAAAGTCTTTTCTTCAGTTTTACTTGTTTGGTTATATTACTTGAATTTCTTAGTATTGTTAAAGTTGATATTTTATTTCCACATGTCCAAATATTAAAAAAAAAACCACACAGGCTTTCATAGCGTGTCCTAATTTTTTCACATGACTGAATATATATATATATATATATATATATATATATATAGTAGTGGATAATGAACCTTAAGATAAATAACTGAATCATGAGCCTGCAGTTTAAAAGATCAACTACCAGTTAGAAATAATCCTGTTGCGATGTTGATATTTTAAGCCTTTCAGGCACTTTCAGTGAGCTCACACTTTCAAGCTAATCTGCAGAAACACATTTCTCTTTTTCTGAGTACATTCGAAAAGCTTTTAGTTAGAAAGCTGTCAACAAGTGGAAGAGGCAGACTGAACCGTGGGCCTGATCCGAAAGAGGCAGACTGGACCGTGGGCCTGATCTGAAAGAGGCAGACTGGACCATGGGCCTCATCTTAGGAATTAGCTGCTAAGACCCCATCTGTTCAGTGACTGCTGCTGCTGGCTTTGGTCAACAGAGGAGAGCCCAAGAGGCCTGAGAAATGTCTCCCTGCCCCCTCGGCCCCCGAAGGCACACTGTGACAAACCTCTCATTCTCTCACTCTAAGTCATGCCAACTGTGCCAGGGCAGCTGACTGTACCCCGGCATTCCCCTCCTGTACACAGATTAGCTATTAATAATCCCTCTGCCCCCATTCCACAATAAAGGAAAACGCAACCACAACACGCAGAGGTGCAGCTTCTACTGAGGACTGTTCAAACCCCAGGATTTGGATTAAGCAACAGACACAAAAGAAGAAACAGAGCTGCTCAAAAGCAGAAGTTCGAGCAACATGCTGTTGTGAGATATAACAACACGAGTAGAACGTTTTTCAACCAATCAGATTCAGTGGTAGGAACTGACCATTGTAAAGCAGCTGTAATAATCCAGATGATACACACAAAAATATAACATGGATTGACCTCAGATAGAAGCATATATTGGTCTGCTGGTTTGAAAAGGTCAGCACCCTGCTGGTCCACCTACGGACCACCTAGATTACTGTCCTGCATACAAGGTCTAACTGGTTTTTAATCTCCTCAAACTGATTTTAAATGCACAGAGCCTTTAATTTTGGAAAATAAACTAAGATAAATATTACAAACAACTGAAAGAAAACAAAACTTAATGACTAGGACTAATATGAAGTGATTTTGTTGAAAACGTTGCTGACACTGTGCTAGATTGGTTACAACTGCATAACCGGCTTTATTTATGAAACTGCTGTTAAAATTAGCTAATATACAAAGGATAATGAAAGTAAGAAATGAAGGAAATGAAGTAAACTGGACTGTGAGTGAAAAATGAGCGCTGAAAAGTGGCATTTTTCCTAACACTCTGCTTAACCATCAGTGGGCCGATCGAAAAATGCTGTGCAAAAAGACAGTGGGCGACCAGCTTTGCTGTCAGTGGGCCAACAGTGGCCCGTTATCCTCTTGCGATCTGGGTCTATGTGAAATTGACTGTGTCACTGGAAATAGATCAATGGGCCACATCTATTTTCATGGTTACAGAACACCCATTTCTATGGTTCTGCTACTATTTCCATAAATATGTCACCATTACCATAAATATGCTACACCTATTTCCATTATTATGCCACTGTTTCTCATAATATTCCATAATAACCATGGTTTACGCTACAACTATGTCCATGATTATGCTAACATTCTATGACTATGCTACTCCCATTTCCATGGTTTTGCTACACCTATTTCCATAGTTACACTACAGCCATTTCCATGGTTATGCTACCCTTATTGCCATGGTTTCCTACAGCCATTTCCATGGTTATGCCACACCCATTTCCATAGGTACACTACAACCATTTCCATGGTTAAGCCACACCCATTTCCATAGTTACACTACACCCATTTCCATAGTTACACTACAGCCATTTCCATAGTTACACTACAGCCATTTCCATGGTTATGCTACACTTATTTCCACGGTTTCCTACACCCATTTCCATTGTTATGCTACACACATTTCCATAGTTACACTACACCCATTTCCATAGTTACACTACAACCATTTCCATAGTTACACTACAGCCATTTCCATGGTTATGCTACACTTATTTCCATGGTTTCCTACACCCATTTCCATTGTTATGCTACACACATTTCCATAGTTACACTACAACCATTTCCATGGTTATGCCACACCCATTTCCATAGTTACATTTCCATGGTTACACTACACAGAGTTTCTTAGTTAAACAACACACATTTCACTGGTTTCACTGGGACAACACTGAAAACACTGCTCTTACAGTCCAGATGAAGAGACAAGGAAATGTGTTTGAGACACTCAAAACTATCGAGCAAAGGAGATGCAAGTAATCTGATGACAGGCTAATCCACTCCATTAGCATCTTCATAGTGATCTCTACCACAGATGAGCTCACACTTTTTCACTATTCCACACACAAACTACTTAATTCCTCTTCTCCCATCACTTCAGCCTTCATGCTGGGCAGAAGCACTCAGCATTGTTAGCCAGCTATGCTGCATTCAGGCCTAATGGTCATAGAGCTGCAGTGGGGGATGGAGCAGAGCACAGCATTTACTGTAGACTGTGTAATGGCTCAGTAAATAGTGGCTGTGTCAACATGCAGAGACAACCTTGCCACGCCCACAAAGGAAATGAACTAATGTTGCAAGCACTGAGCTGTAAACAGCGTCTAAAACAGAGTAAGAATCCACATCCTTGTCCCTCTTACTGGTCACATGCTGTTGCATATGTGATACATGCGTTTGTATATCCATATTGTACTGTATGTGCTAGTCTAGGCAGTAAAGGTCTAATCCTACCTAGAACCGGGGTCAGGGGCCTGCAGTAGGGTGAGTCTGAAAGCTAAGCCATGCTATGGAGAAGCCTATGGAGTCTATGAAGATAAGCACTGGGTAGTATTTGTGTTAAAGGGACGAGAACGTGATATTAAATCTTTTGTTACTAAAATGTTCCTAAACTAAATGCGAAGCTACGCAGATACACAGTTGTTTGAAAACAATAACACAGTAGTGTGAGATTGCATCAGAGTGGGTGGTAGCATGGCCAGTCATTACACTGCACATAAATCACATGATAATTAAAATACATAAAAACAGAGTGTCAGATCGAATAGTGCTGTTTCAGTCATAATTGATTCGTGACGCTTTGCTGAAAAACAACTGACTGAAAGGACATGGAGGGAACCTTTACTACGAATATTTTAATTTAGACCAGACGTATCCCTAAAGGAGAAGAACAGCCTCGAGCATCTTCAACTATTGTGTTAATAAATGCTAGATATACTAATATGAACAGCAGTAGGGCTGAACGATGAATAGTATTTATATAGAAATTTAAGAGAGTGCAATTTTCAATTTGCAAGAGCTGCCATTTTTTAATGACAGCCAACATTATCAAAAACGTTCTCTTACGTTTAAGTAGGGAAACTGAACCTAATAACACAGACAGTGTGTCCCAATACAGGAGCTGGATCCTTCAAAGGCTGCTTAGATCCACGAAGGCTGATCCGAAATGAGACGGTCTGCCCTACGGCAGATTTTCTGTTTGCGTCACAGCACCGCTGTTCTGTGTAAAATTATTTTAAAGTTCTTTAAAGATGGAGCCGGAAACTTTGATTTAAATTGTTTATTTTTTCATTTTTAAGAGCTGGAGATGCTTTACCACCAGCTACTGATGAGATTGCTTAGATCGTTAGCCATTCGACTCAGTTTAAACCCAATACCTATATTTATATATATTTAACTTACATATAAAAGTGTACTCTTCAGCCACAGTTCACTTCTCTGTTGATGCCGCCATGTTCTTGCATCCTCGCCGGCATGCAATGTACCTCGAGATATGTTGGCTGGTGAAGGATGCACCCGATGGATCCTTCATTGCCATGGAAAAGGAGGACACATTTCTCGGCCGCATATGAAGGAGTCTTCGAAATGGGACAGTCTACCCGCGCCGCTGTGACGCAATCGGTCTTCAAATGCAGCCTCTGAAGGATGCAGCCCCTGAATTGGGACACAAGGAGAGCTTGTGAACTGCCTGTAGTTAAGTTGGACCAATCAGAGGCAACCAAAGCTCCATGTGTTGTGACATCACAACCACAACTTACTGGCAGTTTGACACACTACATTCAGGGCTCAAACCAGCAAAGGTGGATATTCTGAACTTCTAGGCCAAAAAAAAAAAAAACAGGCTTGATATTAGAAATAAAAAAATCGCAATTAGGTATTTTCCCCAAAACCCTAAACAGCAGAAAACCAAATATTCTTCTGTTTAAGTTCTGAAACCTGATAACTTCCGTTTTTTACTGAAACTGATGTTTGATAACTGCTTTTACTTTACGTCACTTTTACAATATGTTTATTTGCAGTGTGGTTTAAGGCTTTTCTGCTCAGAGGTTACAAAGTATGAGCCTGCCGGGCCCACTGAGGGGAAAAGCCTACGCGTCAGGATCCGGTGTGATTGGCAGCTGAGGAGCACCAATCAGCGTCGTCGACGCCTACACTAGCTGCGCTATAGGCGGCTGTTTGAAAATTCCAGCCAATGGGATTGCGATACAGCGACTCTAGGGGCGGGGACAAGGAAAGCTATTAATATGGGGGAAGCTGGATTTCGCAGTTCAGTTACAGAAAGGAAGAACAGTCAGCGCTTGAGATTTCACTACCTCCAAAGACACAATGAGGGAAATCGTGCATCTTCAGGCCGGACAGTGCGGTAACCAGATCGGAGCCAAAGTGAGTGGAGGGTTTTTTTGTTAATCTATCTGAAATGCGGCAAACTATTGATAAAACCCAGTTTTTGTCCCTCAACATGCTCATAAATGCACTTCGGTAAATTAAGATGTATTTAATGTCCTTTATTTCAATTCAGGATCTCCATTTTTCAGAGCAAACCCAGAGACAAAGCCCAAGATGGTTTGAATGAGAAGTGGGTCAGCTGCGCCCTGCAGTCCGCTTCCTCATTTTCTCCGATCCTAGATAAGCAACACGGAAATGGGCCCAAAGATTTTAACCATTTAGCTCATTTCGTGCTTTATTTCTGCATTTCAGTAGTTTTTTTCCTGATGCTCAGCCGTTGGCGGGGCTTTCCCTCAATCGAGGCGGTGCAGCGTCACCAAAAATACCAGCCGAGTCGAAGCTAAATTCAGCTTCCTATTCAGCTTCTTGGTGGAATTTTCCCGGTCCAACTTAAATGCCTTACACATTTATATCCATTAGCGGTCCCACAGCTCAGGCGCCAGAATGTAACTGCTGCATCATTTAAGGTGGAACGGGAAAATTCGAATACGCTGCAGAAAAGGAGGTCAAATTCATCCTCGGTAAACTGAGGCGTCCGTTTAATCACTTAGTCCGAGCCGGACGGGGTTATTAAAGCCCTGGGCGAAGATTCGGACTGTTTTTCCTCCTAGAATACAGATTTATTGACTTGTAGCCCGGATGAAAGAACACGAGGGCGCCGGATGTAGCGTTAGGTGGCGCGAGACCGGGCGCAATGACGTAGGCAGAGTTTTTCAAACGCGCTACGCGGCTGGATTTCAGCCAATCAGCGTGCAGGCCGCGCGCGCCATTTTAGACACGAGACGGGTTTGAAATATAAACTTTGGCGCCACAATCTGCTTTACAATGAAGTCGGTCTGATTATAATTATATTCTCCTCTCTCCGGTTAGAGGTTCTTCTGAGGGCGTTTTCAGTGGCTTTTTGGTTACAAGGTCACGTTTTCAGGTTTAAACATGCTGATCTGGTCTGGGCTGCAATGCCGAGGTTAATTGTTGGGGGTTCTGAACATCTTCAGAATACATTAAATATGTAATTTTACTGTATTTTAATTTAATTAGGAATGCAAAAATACAGGAATTTTGGGCTGATCATTATTATATCATACATTAATATATAAATATATTTATATTCATAGGTGTGTGTATGTATGTGTATGTATATGTGTGTGTGTGTGTGTGTGTGTGTGTGTGTATATATATATATATATATATATATATATATATATATATATATATATATATATATATATATAAATAAAACCCTAACTTGACAGGAGAAAGGGGAAAATTCTGTTTTTTTTGTTAGTAATTTTGGGCCACTTTTGGTCCATTCATCATGAAATGTATACACAATGTTAAGGGCAACAGGTACTGTCAAACTGAAACAAAAAATGGAGATGACATTTTGTTCAGATGGCTGCAATGAACATAATGGTTACTGATGCAATAAAACGAAGTTATCATGCATCCTTATTTGTAATTGTACTAAGTCCACACTGTCACCTACCAATAAAACAAAGTGAATGATTAACTCATGACTTCATTTGTTTATTCTTTCAGTTCTGGGAGGTTATCAGCGATGAACACGGCATTGACCCAACTGGCACGTACCATGGTGACAGCGACCTCCAGCTGGACAGGATCAATGTCTACTATAACGAGGCATCAGGTACATTTACAGGCCTTTTTTAAACATATGTCTGTGATTATATGTTAGCCTCCCTTCTCATAACTTTGTTTTGTTGTAGGTGGCAAATACGTGCCCCGTGCTGTGTTGGTGGACTTGGAGCCTGGTACTATGGACTCTGTGAGGTCTGGACCTTTCGGACAGGTCTTCAGACCAGACAACTTTGTCTTTGGTGAGTGAGTGTTCTTAGAGTATCGTTTTAACTAATGGTGTATTAGATTTCCAATTATGAGTTGAAATGTGCAGAAGAAATGGGCATTGAATAAATGTTCTGCTTGGATTCATTGATCAGGTCAGAGTGGTGCTGGAAACAACTGGGCCAAGGGCCACTACACAGAGGGAGCAGAGCTGGTCGACTCAGTGCTCGATGTGGTGCGCAAGGAGGCTGAGAGCTGCGACTGCCTGCAGGGCTTCCAGCTCACCCACTCCCTGGGTGGAGGCACTGGGTCCGGCATGGGTACCCTCCTCATCAGCAAGATCCGTGAAGAGTATCCCGACCGCATCATGAACACATTCAGTGTGGTACCCTCACCCAAAGTGTCCGACACAGTCGTAGAGCCCTACAACGCCACCCTGTCTGTGCACCAGCTGGTGGAGAACACAGATGAGACGTACTGCATCGACAACGAGGCTCTGTACGACATCTGCTTCCGCACTCTCAAGCTCACCACTCCCTCATATGGTGACCTCAACCACCTCGTCTCTGCCACCATGAGCGGCGTCACCACCTGCCTCAGGTTCCCTGGGCAGCTGAACGCTGACCTGCGCAAGTTGGCCGTCAACATGGTGCCCTTCCCTCGTCTGCACTTCTTCATGCCTGGCTTTGCCCCTCTCACCAGCAGGGGGAGCCAGCAGTACCGCTCCCTCACCGTGCCAGAGCTCACCCAGCAGATGTTCGACGCCAAGAACATGATGGCTGCCTGCGACCCACGTCACGGCCGCTACCTCACAGTTGCCGCCATCTTCCGTGGCCGCATGTCCATGAAGGAGGTGGACGAGCAGATGCTCAACGTCCAGAACAAGAACAGCAGCTACTTTGTAGAGTGGATCCCCAACAACGTCAAGACCGCCGTCTGCGACATCCCACCCCGCGGCCTGAAGATGGCTGCCACCTTCATCGGCAACAGCACCGCCATTCAGGAGCTGTTCAAGCGCATCTCCGAGCAGTTCACAGCCATGTTCAGGCGCAAGGCTTTCTTGCATTGGTACACCGGCGAGGGCATGGATGAGATGGAGTTCACAGAGGCCGAGAGCAACATGAACGACCTGGTGTCCGAGTACCAGCAGTACCAGGATGCCACGGCCGAGGAGGAGGGAGAGTTCGAGGAGGAAGGAGAGGAGGAGCTTGCTTAAGTCTGCTTGTGTATATGTGTATGTGCCAAGCTGTAATATTGTAATGACCTGCCTGAAAGCCTTTCCAAAGCTCAGTTTTTCCTCGTGTTTCGTCACCTCTGCTGTTCATTCCTTTTCTGTACAGAAAGAACAATAAAAGCCCCTTTTTCTAACTTGCTGTGTCATTGTACTTACTTGCTCACAAACATGAGACTAAATGAGTTCCTGGGCTTCATAAAGTGGCATCAGATCCTTGTTTAACCTGTTTCGCATGTTTAGCACATGCATTTTAGCATAGCACATGAGCACTTTGTCTAAGTGTAATCATGTAAACTGAATCAGCCTAAATACCTTCATGACTTGATAGTTAATTGCTTCAGCTGCTGATCACAATGGATAGTATGTGTGTAATGAGCGTTACCTTGAGAATGTGCAAATTTTGAGTAACTGCTTTCAAACACTGAATGTTATTACCATTGTTAATGCACCCTGTGTGCTTGGTCTGCACTAGAAAACAGACCAAAATGGGTTTTTCCCAAATGATAACTTACCAATTGCAATAATTGTAATCAGTACTACACACATGGTTCTGTTTTCTACCAATATGTGTATCTAATCAATTAAAGCCCTTTATTATTAAGGGAAAAGTGATTTCAAGCTCTGGGAAAGCAGCTGAGCTGGTTGGCAATAACACCACCTGGACTCATTGTCCATTTTATCAGCTCTGCTTACCATATAGGCGCACTTTGTAGTTACACAATTACAGACTAGTATCCCTGTTTCTCTGGCTACTCTGTTTAGCCCCCTTTTACCCTGTTCCTCAATGGTCAGGATCCCCACAGAGCAGCTGTTATTTGGGTGGTGGGTCATTCTCAGCACTGCAGTGACGCTGACATGGTGGTGGTGTAAGTGGATCAGACAGCTAGAGTATTTAAACACTGTCCACTCTATTAGACATTCCTACCTGGTTGGTCCACCTTGTAGATGTCAGAGACAGTAGTCAGAGTCGAGACAGTGGCTCACCTGCTGCTACCAAGTTTGTGTTGGTCATCCTCTAGTCCTTCATCAGCTTTGTTTTATGGGTCGTTTGGTCACTATAAGGTACACGGTTAGGTTGCTGTGTGGTCCGGCATTCTCATTTGTACTTTATGCAATGCTATATTGTTATTTAACCGCATTTTTAGAAACATATAACTTATGGTGTTTTGGGTCCAAAAGGCCAGAGTAGAAATATTGATAAATTACCAGATAGCATTAAATTTTTTTTAATCTTTTCATGGCTTTTCATTGGGGGATGGAAATTGTCCATCGCTGTCAACATATGAGTTCGGTGTGTAAACTGTACACTCAGGAAAAAAAATCTCCTTGAAAGAACTTGAAAGATGGACGCGCTCCAACACAACTGAAACATCTTAAAGGATCTTTGTAGAGCTATACAAACACCTAGTGTTGTGAAAACTCCAAAGTAAGTAAAGCCCATTGCAAGTCTGGATTTTGTATTCATATATTATGCACAAATGCATTTAATGTGCAATTCAATAGAGATAAGTTAGATCTACATAATGTCGGAGTTGATGTAGTGTTCAGTCCACTGTACTACACACATGCTAACTGCAGTAAAAAGAGGGGAAAGGCACATCCAATATGCAAATCTGTGATGCCAGGAGCCAATGGGAAAGATGCTAATTTTACTCCACAAGGTTGCATTGACAAAATAAAAACTGATCCAGTAAACCTGACAAGTCTGTATGTCATTGAAACAACCCAGCTGAGTCAGTTCCTCTCAGTTGCATTTGTTAAGTAACAACAAGAGAGAGATGGTTGAAACCAACAACAAAGCCATTTCCTGTTTTTTTGAGTGTTTGTCCAACTGCTTTCTCTATCTGGATGAACATAAGAACCAAACCCATGTTCTCTGTTGAAAGGAACCTATGCTCTGATGGGACTACGGCCTCCACTATACAGACATTTTAGTCACAGTAGACATTTTAGTAGACATTTTAAAAAAAAACAAGATTTAATACATAAAATCCTGAACACTTAAATCCTGAAACTTAAGACATCATCCAGCAGTAGTGTCAGTACTTCTACTTAACTTGCAAAATTTCTTACTATCACTGAATAGTGATATAACTGCATTGGTGCGTAAGAAAATATTGACATATTTGAGTATGGCAGTATTATATTTTGTAATACTGTGTCAATTCTCAAAAACACTATCGATTTTCAGGTAAAAGTTTACACTCAATGATTCGTGGCGAACAATAGTTCATTTTGTATTGTGTTTAGACCCCTGACCGCTAGATAGCAGTGCTATGACGGTTTCCGTAAAATTAGATTTTAAAATATTGCAATATATCGCAATGCATCGAATCGTAACCCCTGTATCATGATATGAATTGTATCGCCAGGTTCTTGCCAATACACAGCCCTATGACTAAATACTTTGTGGGGGAAACGTCAACAGTAGCAGCCAAACCTTTACAGAGTTCAGACATTATGGTTAAAGCAGTCGTGACAACTCCAAATTTTTATGGCCAGTGTTCTCCACAAGATGGCACTGTCCTTCAAGTTATTCTTCTTTTCCAGAGAAAGTAGAAAAGGATCCCCACAGTCAGCATGAGCAGACTCCAGCAGCACACCTTCTTCACTTGGCCTTCCAAAGTCTGTTTCTCCCCAAAGCGAGACACAAATCCAGACTACACACGTACACAGAAAAGCACAGTTAGAGACTCTGGATGGACAGTTGGAAGATTTTCTACTGCAGATGATCCGTCACTACCAACATATCGCTGTTGTCGGGACAAAACCCTGTATCTCTAAAATGGTAACTTTACATGAGAAGGAAAAAACCTACTTTATTTTTAAGTCAATGGAACCAGACAAGTCATTTTGGGCCGTTTCTTTTGGTCCATTCATGTTGAAATTCACACAATGTAAAGGGCAGCAGGCATTTTCAAAGTGTGTCAAAAACTGAAAAACGACAAAAATGCAGATACAAGGTTTTGTTCCGACAGCAGCAAAATGTTGCTACTAACAACAGCAGATAGTGTCTAAAATACACTTTGCTAGAGTGTAAAGAAAAATGAAGATACCCCAGTTGTTTTTAGAGTAAGGGATATATATAAAGAGTCAAGGCCTAAAGCAGCTTGCTAGAGCATGGAAGGGCAGTTTCCCCTGGTAGAACTGCTCCACATAAGCAAAATGATCAGACAAACTGATCTTGATTATGATCTGAACAAAATTCTAATAACCGGTTCCTCAAAAAGGAGACTGCTTTGTCTGTCTTGCTTTGTTTCTACTCACCCATCCTCCTTTGTCCCTGATCTCAGGGCAGATGACCCTCTCCACATAGCTGCCCACACAGTCCTGAAGCTTGGGCAAGACGTTGGTCATTCCCCTCTGCTGGCAGTGCAGGGCCATCTGGCCGGCCAGCACAAAGATGGAGAGCACGGCACTCCATGCCAGGTCCCGGCGCCTCGTGGGTGCAAAGTGCTCATCTAGGATGGAGACCAGAGTCGAGCAGGCCGACTCCTCCGTCACGTCCTGGAAGACACGTGGCCAGCGGCGGAAGAAGATGGGAAAGCGCTGGAGGAGCTCGTCCCCTGCATGGCGCAGGGCCGCTGAGGGCGTGGACGGTGCCGGGGCGAGCGGAACCCCCGGCTTGGCCGTCACATAGTTTATGTAGTCAAAAGCCATCAGGTAGGCCTCCCGCACCAGCGGATCAGGGCTGATCAGGCCTTGGCCAGCCACAGACTGCTCTGATTTGTCCATCACTTGGGTCCAATCAGGGTCTTTCTCCAGTAGGGACTATGAAATGGTCAGTTTGCTCTTCAGCAGGCATTCATGCTGCTAATTATGAATGCCTTCAGTGGTTAGGAGCTTTCCTGCATGGTGCTCTACTCAAATATCCCCTGGTTAGGTCCTTAAGTCCCTCTGTCCATCAGCCTCCTGCAGTCTCCTAAAAGTAGGAATCATTAGTACTTTGACTCATTTATACAATGTCAACATTTTTTCCATTTAAATCAAAAGTTGTCCGTGGCACCAACTAATGCAGGGTAAAATGTAACTTTTTATGTAGTTAAATAGGTTCAAGTAGAACATGCTATTAGCCATCATCTCATATTCTTATAGCAGCATCTTCTGTGAATTTGGAAAGTTATCGGACACCTTGGTTTTTGTAACATAAAAGTTTTTTTTTTTGCCATGATTGTTTTTTACTTACTGAGCTTTGTGAATAAGAATTCATACTTACATTAGGCTAGACCAGGGGTGTCAAACTCAATGAGTAAAAGGGCCATTTTAGAAAATCTCAACAAATCTGTGGGCCAGAGGAAACAAAAAAAATGTTTGACAGGACTTTATATGGATAGTCCACTTTAGATGCTTTGTAGATGGTTAATTTACCTTTAAGTTACATTCAATAAATACCTGCTAAATAATAATAATTTTCTTTAACTCGAAACCTGGCTCTAATCCTAACCTTATCTTCAACCCAAAATCTAAACCCAACCCCCTTACCCTGATCCTAGCCCTAACCCTAACCCCACCAATGTTTAGAATCAACTGAGTTTCAACAGATAGTTTGTTAACAATCTGAACACTTGGCACTTGTAGTACACCTTGAAATATAGTATATAATATTACAGTCTTTTAAGTATTACTTAGTCTTTTAAACCTACCTATCTGACTGGCACCATTTCTTTGCTGTAAGTTCATTAAAACTTTGGGCTCAGTTTCTGAGCTGTTGAGCTGACGTGAGGTGTTTATACTGGTTGAACTGCAGCTGAAATGCAGTTAGTGCATTTGGTGATATGACTGGTGTGGAATTGCGTAGAATTTAGGTGTAACCAATGTGCCATAGACTGCTGTTGGGGTAGGAGAGTCAGAGAGCACATTATGTTGCAGTGCATATTGGGACTGTAGTGCAGCGCATTGTGAAACGGGCTAATATTAGTAGAAAATAAAACACTTTTGTGGGCCTTGTGTTTGACACATGGGGCCTAAAAGCTTAATGCTAGAAAATGAAACGGAGGAATGGAATAACCTGGGGGGACCATGCCTGAAACCCCTCCTCCTTCCAATCTAACACCCTATAAGTTCCCATCTCTACCTTCTGTTTATGCACAACAAAGTTTGCAATCCTCACCGCCACACCATCTTCTCCTTATTCCTCACTTCTATCTGTCAGTCCTACTGCCGTCCAAAAAGGGGGGAGGGGGGGTCTGACATTCTAGCTCCAAGCAGAAGCCACCCAGAACTCCAGCCCAAGTTCTCAGAGTTCACCTCCCTCCCTCAGTCAGTCTCCCTCAAAAGACCACCGTACACCGAAGGCACCATCCGAACTCACAAATGCAAATTACGACACCTGTTGGAGGCTGTAATTTAGTCGTCTTTAGAGGTGTATAAACAAGTCACAGTGTGAGTCAGGCAGGCTAAAGTACAGCCACCACACGACAGGGTTAGTTTTAACACAGTGTCACAACTAAGACTCTAAAAGTATTTCAATACAGTTACTTTTTTCAAATGTTTTATTCACAGATTAATCAGAAACATTCTATACATGTTATGTAAATAAAACAGACTTAGAATGTATCATGATATTCGCTCATCTGTGTAGAGACCAAGCCTTTAGCGATTGCTACATCTAGCCCCTCAGTCTGTTACAATGAAACCCCCTATAGGCACTTTTGGTGGAACTGTTCATTAATGATAGGTGCTGGAAACAGGTTGTGTATATAAATCAAATCAAATATTCTAAAATTGCTTAGCGGAAAAAAAGTGACAGATTGTGCCCGCTCTCCCGCACAGTACGTACTAATTAGAATTGCTGGTAAGGAATCAAATTCCTATATCAAATCTTACAAATGCACACATACTCATGCATCCTGCCGCTGTCAGGGCCCGGAGTGACTCACCCCTCTTCACACAGACGAAAATCGGGCTAGAGCTCCAATGCTACGGACTAGCTAGCAGGTGGCACACTGGCAATGGAGTCTCCTTCTGTCTAAGCGTGCTCTTTCGGTCAGCCAATGTGTATGTATGTGTGTGTGTCTTCTAATGCGTTGACACTGTCTATATTTAGCACTCTTTCTGGTACCCGATACAGGGCCAGTGTCTCATCTGCTTGCACAATCGCCAGGCCTGTGACCACCCCCCATCGGCTGTGTGGTTCCAGCTAAAAATACCACACACTCAGAGGGCTGACCCTAAAACTTCTCTCTATACCCATTTACACTCAAACTCTCTAAATATATTCGTCTGCGGTGTCAGGCAAGGACAGGATGAAAACCTTACGTTAAAGGACACCATTTGAATATCCCTTCATATGAATACTTAACAAGAAATGCTAACATGTCTGACAAAGACTTAAACCTAGTGGGTACCAGTTACCATAATTTAGGTAACATTACCCTCAACTACTTTTAAAGTGAGGTGTTGATAGCATTTATCCAGTACTAGCAGTGCTAGCACTTTCGCTAATTCATAATTTGCTAATTTGATTATTGGCAGTTAGCATTGTAATTTTACCCAATCTAGATTTGTTGGTAGTTTTTGTAAAATTATGATAAATACTAGCATCAAAACCACTTTCATTGTTGTTTTTCTCTAGGAAAATGTTGATGTAAAGGCAAATGTGCTTCTCTAGGCACATGTTAAGAAACTAGCACGTATTCCATGCTGGTCTAAGCTGGTCTGGTGCTGGTTTATCGGGTCACTTGGCCAGTACACTAGCATCCAAAACACAACATATGCTGGATTCACATATTCCATTTTTTGAAGGGAAATTGCTAAAAGGTGTTATAATTTTGCACCTTTCGCCTGGACATCAGTCCATCATTCAATGTGAACGCTTTAGCCTTGTGGTAATTATAGTGCTTATTAAGGAATCATGTTCGAAGCTGTGGAAACAGTATGACAAAGCTTTAAAGCATAAAATATATTTGTCTGCATTTACTGAGAGTGATGTCAGGCATGTCTGACAAAGACTGAAACCTAGTTACCGTAATTTTATTTGTTAATTATACCCTGTGGGAAACATTACCCTCAAACACTTTTAAAGAGAGGTCAATGTTGCTAGTGTTTTGTTTTGTTTTTCATTATTAGCAATGCTAGCACTTTTGCTAATTCATAATTTGCTAATTTCATGATTAGCAATGTTAGCATTTTGATTTCATCCGAGATTTGTTGGTAATTTTTGTGAAATTGTGATAAATACTAGCATGAAAAACACATCCGTTACTGTGTTTCTCAAGCCAAATGTTGATGTAAAGGCAAATGTGTTTCTCTAGGCAAATGTTATAAAACTAGCATGTATTCCATGCTGGTCTGAGGTTGTCTGGTGCTGGTTTAACTGGTCGATAGACCAGTATACAAGCATCCAAAACACAGTATATGCTGGATTTTCTGGTGGTCAGCCTATCTTCCATCACTGCTGACCAGCATATGAGCATCCAAAACACAACATATGTTGGTTTTGCTGATGACCAGCCATGCTGGTCTATGCTGGTCTTTCTAGAAGAGGATAATTGGCCTAGAAAGGTAAAACCCATATCTGTATTTGCTAACAATACTCATCTACCCAGCGAATTGTACTCCTGCACTACTGCATGAGCTAGAAAAGAATGTAGAACTTATCCTGCTTAATTAAACTACACATTCTAGTAGTATGCTGGAGGTCTTTCTGGAAGTTGGTATGTTTAAGTGGTCTCTTGGGGTCAGTGCTGTGAGTGTAAATGGAGTGTAATTACAGCTCAGTCTTTTGTTTGAAGGAAGACAGCGCTGCATTGTCACTAGGTGGCAGTACTGCACCAATAATAGAATTTTTTCATAAACTGATGAAAGATACTTTCACAGCCTGATGTTAGGCTATTTATTAATATACACATATTCCCTTTTTTAAGGGGAAATTGCTAGGGGTGTTACGATTTCACCGTTCATGCTTGGATATCAGTCCTTCATTCCTGAAATGTGAACACATTAGCCTTGTGGTAATTCATAGCGCTTATTAATGATGCTTAGTGCCAGCTATGGAAACAGTACAACAAAGCTTTAAAACATAAAAGTGACCCAAGTAGTATAATAATAATTACCCAAAGGTGTTGATTTTTAAATCACCACCACTTATTCATTAGCATGTAGGGTCTAAATACAATATGAATGTGTTTCTGGTTCAGCGCTAGGCTAATTACATTTAATTAAATAGAACGGCCTACCGTGGAGAAACACTAACACATTTCCTATGCACATGGACAGACTTCTCATGTATAATGACTTCTGTAATGCTTTCTGTGAACCAACTAATTTGACTCATTTGAAAGGGCAATTAGGGCTGACCCTAACTGATAAGAGCAGGAAACGGTGGTTATGATTAAGGCTTGGAGTCCTAGTGTCCAGCTGCAGACTCCTAGACGGAGCCCCAGGCTGGGCAAAGTCTCTAATGTTAGCTAAGTGAGCTAGTGTTAATGGACACATTATAAGTGAGGTAACTGAAATCAACATTAAACAAAGGAAATGGTTACAGTTAGGGTTTTAGTTACTTTCCCAGACATGTAAGTACAGCTTCTTCAAAAGATTGCTTCAAAATAAAATGGTTAAAGTAATGGGATGAGGCTAGCTCCACAGTCAACTATGTTAGCTAGCTAGCCAACAGAAGATATGCTGTTGCTAGCTAGCTAATGCTCACTAAAAGCTATCCAGCTTCAGTTAGCAATTTTACACCTATGGAACGACAGCATACCTTCTGTGAAACAGTTCAACTGCACTAAAAGACATTTCCTTAGCATTAATGTGAGCCACCCCACCAACGCTAGATAACCAGCTAATGAAGGTAGCGCGTTAGCAAGTTGGCTAATATTATGCCTCATCTCTCAGGCGATCACTGCCATCTCTAAACATTCTTTCCTCTGAGAAAAACTTCAACAGAACTCCTCAAAACAAGTCTGCAGTGAGAACGGCGCTGGAATGTATTACGCCTGATACAATGTCCTGATCATTTGGAGAGCGGTGCTGTTTTTATTTCATTCCTGAAGCTGAAAAAGTTTTGGATTAAGCTCTGTGAAAGTCCATATTTCCAGCTTAATGTCAAACAGCCAGCTCTAAGGTAAGCGAAATCTGGGTAAAAATAATTTTAGGATTAAGTCTAATAATAAATACCGTTACAGAAAAATGTTAAAACCTTTTGTGATTAAAAATTGTGCGTAAAGATAAACATTAATGCACTCGTACGTACATATAACATTGCTCGGACTAGCTGCAGTGTTCGCTTTAGCATTAGCTCATCTGAAGGGGCAGCTTTTATTTCTAAAATCTTATTATTATTCGACTGTAAACCTGTCGTGAGTGACTAAACGGTTTCCCTGGTTTGATTAATGTATATATGGGTTCCAGAATCCTTTCTCCATGTTAAATCAGCCTGCATACTTATATTGTTACTTCTCCAGCATGTCTACAGTGAACATCTTGTAAAGCCGATTTTTTTTTAGTGAAAATCTTTCAAATGCGTGTGCTTTTAATATTCCCTGCTAATATTTACGACTACTTCATCTGCTGCTACTGCTTAGTCTGTTCGTAGTTTTACAAATGCTACCTGGAAGCCTGAGATCTTGACAGACATAGCAAAAATTATGCTAAGGTACACAGGTCTTGGATTTTGCGGTCATTTAAGGCTTTGTCCAGTCAAGGGCTTGCCACTCACTTGGACAGAAGAGGGACAGTTTTGAGGGGGTGATAGAGAAAGTAAGAGAGGGCTTCCAAACTCTGCAAATAATCAGTGATTATTTTCCCATTTCTGAACCTCTGCGGTTTACGGGTAACGTTAAAAGCTTTTTAATTTCCTGTCGAATGTGGAGCACTTGCCTGAGTATGTGTGTGTGAGCGTGGGGGGATTTGTGTTTTTGTTTTTACAGCATGCTGTTCTCAGCTTTTGGGGTCGTGTGTCATGTAGGAGTTTAATGCACTGCTCATTTCCTGGACTAGCTAAGATAGAGATCAAAGCCTCTCTGCGCAGGCCTCTCCCCTCGCAAGGTGTGGAAACACACACACTCACGCACAGCACTCAGGTTTTTGCTTTTTAACTCCGTGCGGCTTTCATGTCATCAGCTGTCCCTCATCTGGATCGCATATCCTTCATTACTGTAGCTCATATCAGTATCCTCTCCTCTCTGACTGCAGTCTAATTCTATTTCAGCGCACTGTGACATAACCACGCTGGCATGTCCCCCTCTTTATTAAATCTCCTCTGGCTGCAGATTCTGATACTGCTGGCCTGAGACTGGACCACTAAGCACTTCTCCACCCATGCTATCTACTGTAATATATCAAACGTGCTTGCAGTGATTATAATGTGAGACATGTGGTCTGGCTTGAGTGACTTACGTCTCCCTACAACAACAAACCTCTCTCGAAACCACACTGCTGTTAAAGGAATAGTTAAGTGAAAAAAAACAAATTTACACCATTTTTCTCTCACCGTAAATGCAGTTGGTTAGCCAAGACATGTTTGGTGCCCAAAGTTTGCTTCCTTAGTTTTGCACAGAAGCTAAGAGGCTAATATAGCCAACATAAATAGAAGTAGAACAATTCTGTAATCTGTAAAACAGACTTAATTCAGGTTTCAAGATTGCTGCCTTTACTGTTTTTAGCTGGAAAATGTTATTTTGTCCATTTTTAGGATGGACAGTATGTCATACCTCAGAGGAGCTTTTGTTGGTAGCTCACTTCAGAAGGCCTAAGCTGGTCTCTGATGGTCATTAACTGACCTCTTGCTGGTCTAAGACAGCTGAAGTAGTTAACCAGCTGGACATCTAGATAATGACCATCAAAGACCGGCAAGAGCCTAGCTAATGGCCATTACGTAGTCCAGCTAGATGTCCAGCTGGTCTAAAATGGTTGATGTCGCTGACTAGCTGGATATCTAGCTATGACCATCAAAGACCAGCTTAGACCTCTAAGAGCCTAGCTATTGCCCATCAAGGGCCTGCAAGAACCTTGCTAATGGCAACCGCCTAGTCCAGCTAGATGTCC